AATATTTATTAGAGAGAATATCAAAAATTTTCTCACTTATCCCTGCTCTCTGAACAAACTTTCAAAATAGGAGAATCCCAAGTTACTAACCAAATTATTGCAAAACAAGTCGTAAAATACGTCGCAACAAATTTCTTAAAGTAAGAAAATCNACTTTCAAAATAGGAGAATCCCAAGTTACTAACCAAATTATTGCAAAACAAGTCGTCGCAACAAATTTCTTAAAGTAAGAAAATCTTGACACACCCAAACCTGAACGAAAAGTAACATAGAGGCAAAAATAGATGGCAAAACCAGAATGGAGCAAGATCATTGCAATTTAAACAAAAGCCATCCAAGTAATTATAATTTTATCTTTCCTCACGGTAGACTTTTTTTGGACAAATTCTATCGTTTAAGCCTTTAAATTAATATTTTTAATTTATTATTTACTGCAACTAATTTGATTTAATTTTCGTGAACTATCAAGAATTCAGAAAAAGAAAGACGAAATAATGTTTTACTAGATTAGCTCAGATTTTTTGATTCACCTTGCAAACACATGGCCATATAAAAAGCAATCAGTTATTGCTAATAAATCGGTCCATTCCCAATATCTCTAGCAAATGGACATATCATAGTCCAGCCCCCACCCTTCTGCACTCTGCTTTATCTACACTACAGATTCATGATGCCAGCTGGTTGGTGGCTGCAAGTATTTTATTTTATTTTCTTTTCGTTCTCCTCTTCCTTCCGATTTGTTTTTGTGGTGGCCATGAAAATAATTAATAATTGTAACTTGATCTCAATTACAATTGTTTATCACTCAATAATGACAGTGACAATGACTATATGTGGGTATATTAGAGTCCCATATATAACTCAATTAAAATTTGGCACTGTGTATATGAGTATGACATGACATTTAGTTGTAGTCCCTCCATGTGATGATTATTTCCAATATACTGTAGGGATTAAATGTCTACAAAAATCCAAGTTAGGGGGTGGGGGGTTTCTAAAATGCCTAGATATCGTCTGATTAGCAAAAGAAACCAAAAAAAAAAAGGCATCGTTGAAGTTGATTCCACGCACCCATCTCGTAATTAAGGAGTAGGTAGTACGTGGTTTAAAGGGTTGGGGATGGGGGCCTGGCGCTTTGGGAATGTGAGACTTAATTGCAACTTGTCTGACATTAATTAAGGAGTGTATTTAGCCTCCCTCCCTCATAGTCTTGATCCAAGTCAAACTAATTAAAGAACCTTAATTACTTACTTATAGTACTAATAAGGTGTGTTAGAGTTAACAAAAACAAGTGGGTTCCGAAATTGATTAGTTCAATACAACACAGACGTCACTCTAATCACTAGGACATGACGAGAGCTGCATCTTAATTAACTGGCCACTCCCTCCCTAGTTTAATTACTTTACTCTTTCACAACTCACTACTTGCATCCTTAATTATTAAATAATCATTACATTAATTATTTATATATTTAAGTACTCACAGACAGCATCATATATATAATTTTGTTTGTTTTACTTTTTTTTTGTTTGTGGAAGAAAGGAAATGGACCTTCTTCTTATCTTAGACAAACTTAATTAGAAAAATGTAATTACATCAAGTGGGAGAGTGACCTAAAAATACTCATACGCATGCATGTGGCTAATTGCCATTTTCTACACTAATTGTTTTTTTCTAATTTATTAGGCATCCGTCGCACCTGTGGTTTCCGCTGCCCCACCCCCACCCCCACCTACCTGTCATTTTAGTCAGGCAGTCTTCTTATAATGTGAAGTAGTTTGGCATGATATTGATCAGATGCGTGCCTTTTTTCTTTTTCTTTTTGTGTGTGTGTAATTAATGTTGTAGACCCTCTCTAGCTACTATATTACTCCTACAATTAAATCAAATATCTAGGGATATTTTTGACAGCTATTCTAACCGGTAGTTGTCTTTTGAATAAGCAAGCAAATCATGATATAAAGATAACTACGTACATGTTTATTTTTTTGGGAGAAAAACTTATACTTAGTTTTCTGTTGCGGATCATAATTATACGAATTTCTGTTAAAGTCAAACCCACCAAAAATTAAGAGATACTCAGACCTGCACCACACCACATAGCCTAGCCATCCCTCTATCTATGCAAATGCAGCTTGAGTAACTACTTAATTAGTTTCATCACTTGGATGTGGGTGGGTGGGGGTGGGGTGGCTATATAAATAAATGAATATTTGCCTCCACCATCCAGTCCAACAAATGACTTCTCCTCGATCTGCAGATTGCATGTTCAACAAACATATTTCTTCCCGGCCTTAGAAAATTCAATGATTGAACAGGTGAGGGGTCACAAGCACATGTTGGCATCTGATATATCAAATTTGGTGAATGTCATATTCTTAATATTTATTGCAAAAATTATCAGTGTGAATCAAATGGTCTCTGATAGCATGCATGCATGCACTCTCAAACTTGAATTTGAAGTATTGAACAACTAATTACTAATTCAATGGAGCAGTTAGCGTCCAAATGTTCAATCAACTGCAAGAGAGGCATCAAACATGGCCACCTTCAGTACTTTAACCCTTTTTATTGTTCCCATCCCATGGTCCATCACCGCATGGCTTCAAAACAAAAGGTAGGTGGTCCTGGCTCACCAATATGTAGACTGTCCCAACACAACTGACTAGCTGATGGAAAAGATTAAGTAATCTATCCACTCATGAACCATTTCAAATATTTTTGGAGTAAACCTAAACTTAATTCTCAAATTATGCAATAGGGATAAAAAAAAAAAAAATGGAGTTCAATTCTCTAGTGGTAATCTCATTTGGATGGACCACTTTATCACTTGTGGTCTCCGGATGCCCTGAATTTCCACCACTCAAAATATATTAGTGAGGAGATCCGTACGACTCTTGCATGACACCAAGTCAATACTCTACCAAATAACTCTGGTTACGGAGATCATTTTGTATTTTATTCGTGTCTTAGCTACTTCCTTGTGACTAAATGAATACTTAACTAGCATATTGCGCTTTAATTAATATCTGAAATGAATAAATACTTATTATAATAATGACCAGTTGCACAAAAGCAAATAGAATTACAATAGGAGCTCGTGGTCTACCAAACAGCTGGCTTTTTTTTCCTGATCTTTTATTATTATTTTTTTTTAGCCTTATAACAAAAAAGAAAAATGTGTATAGCAGCCAGGAAGATGACAGGGACAAGCTTACGTGAGTCCAACCAGATAATTCCTGAGTAATTCAATTTAGATTTAAAAATTTAATTTAATTTGTTGAACTAATGACATGGTTGTATTGTAACTATCGAATTAACATCAAATTTTATTACTTTATTTGACTCACACTCAATCCAAATATTATGATAAATTAGATCAATAAATTAAATACAAATAGCATTATTAGATAATTCATCCCTCCACCCCGAGAGACCCCTCCCTATCCCTTCTACCTATAAAGTCTGTCTCTTCTCTCTCTAACAAGGTAGAATTTTACTCAAGCCAAATCGCCTAACTTGAGAAGCTTCCAGGGAGGTACCAACTAAGAAAATACCCCGCACATACAGACTCTCTCTCTCTCTCACTCACTGTGGTCAACAATAGGAAGAAGAAGAACGGGGAGAAGAACTGGGCACCCTTTTGAATCATCCATGCGGTGTGTAAGTTTCGTGTGGTCTTCTCAGTCAAATAAGAAAGCACCGACCGTCATTGTGTTGTAGTGAGAAAGTCTTGGTCCTCAAATTTTTGCAAGAAATATCTTCAAACCCTAGAGAGGATAGAAACCAACAAAAACGTGCAGTAGTACTAACACAAATGCCTGAGGTTTTAACTCCACCCTTCAACCAAACCCAGCGCTCAACTGAGCTAACCCTTCCCTGGCTTAGAAGTTAGGACACCCATTTTCTTTATGTTTTCTATTTTGGGTTTTGAATTTATATCATATATCCATGTTGTAGATCTACATATATATATTGGAATTGGAAGCCCAGATTGTAAATCACCTGGCCAGCCNGGAGATCCGTACGACTCTTGCATGACACCAAGTCAATACTCTACCAAATAACTCTGGTTACGGAGATCATTTTGTATTTTATTCGTGTCTTAGCTACTTCCTTGTGACTAAATGAATACTTAACTAGCATATTGCGCTTTAATTAATATCTGAAATGAATAAATACTTATTATAATAATGACCAGTTGCACAAAAGCAAATAGAATTACAATAGGAGCTCGTGGTCTACCAAACAGCTGGCTTTTTTTTCCTGATCTTTTATTATTATTTTTTTTTAGCCTTATAACAAAAAAGAAAAATGTGTATAGCAGCCAGGAAGATGACAGGGACAAGCTTACGTGAGTCCAACCAGATAATTCGTGAGTAATTCAATTTAGATTTAAAAATTTAATTTAATTTGTTAANCGTACGACTCTTGCATGACACCAAGTCAATACTCTACCAAATAACTCTGGTTACGGAGATCATTTTGTATTTTATTCGTGTCTTAGCTACTTCCTTGTGACTAAATGAATACTTAACTAGCATATTGCGCTTTAATTAATATCTGAAATGAATAAATACTTATTATAATAATGACCAGTTGCACAAAGGCAAATAGAATTACAATAGGAGCTCGTGGTCAACCAAACAGCTGGCTTTTTTTTTTTTTCCTGATCTTTTATTATTATTTTTTTTTAGCCTTATAACAAAAAAGAAAACTGTGTATAGCAGCCAGGAAGATGACAGGGACAAGCTTACGTGAGTCCAACCAGATAATTCCTGAGTAATTCAATTTAGATTTAAAAATTTAATTTAATTTGTTGAACTAATGACATGGTTGTATTGTAACTATCGAATTAACATCAAATTTTATTACTTTATTTGACTCACACTCAATCCAAATATTATGATAAATTAGATCAATAAATTAAATACAAATAGCATTATTAGATAATTCATCCCTCCACCCCGAGAGACCCCTCCCTATCCCTTCTACCTATAAAGTCTGTCTCTTCTCTCTCTAACAAGGTAGAATTTTACTCAAGCCAAATCGCCTAACTTGAGAAGCTTCCAGGGAGGTACCAACTAAGAAAATACCCCGCACATACAGACTCTCTCTCTCTCTCACTCACTGTGGTCAACAATAGGAAGAAGAAGAACGGGGAGAAGAACTGGGCACCCTTTTGAATCATCCATGCGGTGTGTAAGTTTCGTGTGGTCTTCTCAGTCAAATAAGAAAGCACCGACCGTCATTGTGTTGTAGTGAGAAAGTCTTGGTCCTCAAATTTTTGCAAGAAATATCTTCAAACCCTAGAGAGGATAGAAACCAACAAAAACGTGCAGTAGTACTAACACAAATGCCTGAGGTTTTAACTCCACCCTTCAACCAAACCCAGCGCTCAACTGAGCTAACCCTTCCCTGGCTTAGAAGTTAGGACACCCATTTTCTTTATGTTTTCTATTTTGGGTTTTGAATTTATATCATATATCCATGTTGTAGATCTACATATATATATATTGGAATTGGAAGCCCAGATTGTAAATCACCTGGCCAGTCAAGTAGGAAAGGGTTCTTCTGAGAAGAAGAAGAACAGATGAGTTCCAAAAGTAAGCTCCCCTTTTCTCAGTACTCTTCCTCATCATCTTCCTCTCAGCACAAAGGCCTCGTGCCTCTCACCTACGAACAACAACAGCAGCAGCAACAAAACCAACGAGGTTGGTTAGACAACCACCAAGACGTGGCCACTTTCAGGCGCCATAACATAGCAGCTGCTCATCAGCTTGAGCTAATGACGCACTCATCGCCTCCAAATAATGATCGTGGAGATGATGCTGATGATTCCAATGATGATCATCTGGTCGGTACAAGGGATTCCTCCGATGCCATGGTGATGGAGAGCCAGAGAGAACATATGTTCGATAAGGTTGTCACACCAAGCGATGTTGGAAAGCTCAACCGACTAGTCATCCCCAAACAACACGCCGAGAAATACTTCCCCCTGGATTCGTCCACCAACGACAAGGGTCTTCTACTGAATTTTGAGGATCGGAATGGGAAGCCGTGGCGATTCAGATATTCTTACTGGAATAGCAGCCAAAGCTATGTGATGACCAAAGGTTGGAGTCGTTTTGTGAAGGAGAAAAAGCTCGATGCAGGTGATATTGTATCGTTCCAGAGAGGTGTGGGTGAGTTGTGTAAGGATCGCTTGTTTATTGATTGGAGGCGACGTCTAGATGCACCCGATATACTACTCCCATCATCATCACTAATTCCCAATCACTCATTTCCAGCACATCAATACTTGTCTTTCCACCATCGGTCCATCCCCAATTGGAATGTTAATCCCTTATTCTTGCCGCCTCAGACTGGGATGTCGTCAATATCACTAGTACCAGCAGCACGGGGCCACTCGCACCTGCTACAGCCAAGCACCACCACCAATTATCCGTATACCTACGGCCATGGAAGCAGCTCTCTCGGTAGTTACAACGGTGTGGTAAACCCTTGTTCGGGCTCGGTAGTTTATTTCAGATCGGCACAGGAAGCAGCACCAGCAGTGGTAGCCCCACAAGGGCCACAAAAGGTTGGAATGTTACAATTGCAAAGAGGGGGGATTAGTATTGGGGGTGGGGTTGTTGAGCCCATGGTGTTCGAGTCGGTGCCGGTGGTCCAAGGGAAAGTTGCAGCAAAGAGACTCAGGCTGTTTGGAGTGAACTTGGAGTGTCCCATTTTGGAGTCGGATGGATGTGACATATTGTCCTCCACCTCCATACCCCAATATTCTTCTTCTACAATGGCACCTCAGCCTCCTCAGCTTTCTTCTTCACTTCCGCCCTTTCAGTTAACGGCATATAATAGTAGCCCCCTTGCTGCAATGCACTCTGGCACGCTCAACGAAGGCAAGGCATCCATGTCCTTGGATTTGGATATCTGATCAGCCAGAGAAATGATACACATATACAAAGGGTAGAGGAGGAAAAGGAACCCAGAATTTCAAGTCTAGCTATGAACCTTACAGACTCATCATCCATCAATACCCGGTAAATAAGGCTATATATAGGAAGACCCACACTGGGATGTTGAGATTTCTTTACGAGTATCAAGTCTGATTCAAGGATTACTAGAAGATATGGAGGATGAAAGAGCTTTTGGAATTTGACTTAATTTGTGTGTATAGATAGACACATTATAGGTCCATCATGTCCATTATTTCATGTTTTCTTTATAATTTGTAGCGAAGATATGTGTCAAAGCCTTAGTTAATATTGCATTGCATTCCTTCACATCGACAAATCTTTATATTCTTCTTTGGTTTATCAACTGTTCTCTCTCTCTCTCCCCCCCCTCTCCCTCTCATATATACATATATAGTGCTTCTGTTGCTAACAACCTTTCCTGACTTTTTTTCTGAGTACACTGTGTAGCTAGCTACCTGATGGAATTGAAGTTCTTCTTTTATCTGTTTTGTCTTTATTGCCTTTGTTAGGTGGTTGTTCTTGTCGCTGCTTCGTTGGGCACGCCAGCAGGTACTGCACAGAGTCGTTGCAGAGCTTTAAAAAGGTAACAGCATCTATCTTAATTACTTGATTTATCATTAAATTTCGCTTCCTCTTCCTTCATGTCACCAGCCATCTTTCTTTTCTCAACGTTCCATACGCCTAGCTACAAGTTCTTTCGTAGAAACAGATGTCCTTGTCCTAAGGTTATTATTGTATATATAAAAGAGAACATGATACATCTAGACCTAGGAGAGGTCGCTGTTTACAACGTTACACATGCAAATCATATGCTTAGGGATGCAAAATGATGTTTTTTCGTTCAATTGTCATCTTAGATAGTATAGTAATTTTAAGCTCTTGCACATTGTTTAGAAACCACTTGGATCCTTTTCTTGATTGGACACATGGCAGATTCTACTTCCTCGTTCACTTTACTATCCTATTGCTTTAATTAGTTGTGTGTGTATTTACATTGTGATTTGCCCCATAAGAGAAGACTGCTAATTAATTGAATGAACATTTTCATGTTATTGGACGCGCAAACATTTCTCTAACCTCAGCTTTCACTTCATAGAAGTTCCAAAATTACCAGTGATCGTAATGTATATTATACAACATCATTGTAGAGGTATTCCACTTGGAAAATTTCTTCCCATTCTGAATTTTTTTAGTTTTTCTTTTGTAGAAATGTATTCAGGTCTTGTGCAAATTAATTTATCTATTTGCAGTTATACAAAGATATATCACAAATATTTATTTATTTTTTGGGAGAGAGAGGGAGACTTGAATCCTTGACCTCAAGAAAACAAAGTTTTCACAAGACAAAGAGTATCATTGAACCAAAAGACTCATTAGTATAAATAGAATGCATTTTCCCTGAAAATCTAAAACACGACTATTCAAGACCAAGTACATTTCCTAATTGCAAATTGCTCAAAATCTGCATCAATCTTCTTACAACCTCCGCCCCTTGATGAGTTTCTTTTTTTTTTTTTGGGGGGGGGGTGGTATTTGATCAGATAATATGGACAGAAGGGCTTTTGTCAAGTGTTGAGTCCACCCTATTCTATACTTCATTTGCCCTCATCATTTCATTCAGGATGAGTCTATTGTATGAGCACCTTACCGTATTTCAATTAGAGCCTTGAAGTTTCATAGCTGCTTATTAATCATGCTCCTATGCCCTAATGCGATGATTACATCTGCTCCATTAATAAATCAGACCTAATAGAGCTTGTGCATTTCCTCCCTCGCAAGTTGTGAACAAAGAAATTGAGAATCTTGGTAAATCAAAATGTGGACTTGACCAAAAAGATGTGTACTTAGGGTATATGACTACACTTCTGTGTTAAGGAATGCCAACCTGATGATGTATCAATGGCATGAATAAATTGTGGTATGTCTCTCTGCTGTTTCAATAAGTTTCCAACTACTAGACTATGCTTAGCTAAGGTAAATTTCAAGTTTCTTTGCTGACATGATGAATATGACACCATAGACGCAATTTTTAAATATGGGTTATTTTAAGCTAAGGACAACAGAAATATACACAACTACTTTATGTCTTGGTTGAAAACGTGTTACTCCCACAAACTAATTATGTGCGAGGGAACTCATCTGAAAAACTGGGAGTAGCTGCATTTTAGTTTTTGTTGGGGGAATGAGTAATCAACAGAGGCTTGACGCAATTTGGTATACAGATTCTCTAGATTTTTTTCCATGTATTAGTACAAGTCCCGAAGGGCCATATACTTTATTATGTGGTGCAGTTACGGGTAGCAATTTTGTTGTGACATTGGTATGATCAACTCTTGTGTAACTGTGTTGACTGCAAACAGAAACTTAAATGTGTGTGTTTCTTCAGTGCCTGCACCTCTTTTATTCAGTAATAGATAAAATAGCTTGCTAGATTGTGGTTTGATCTACTCCACACGTCCTCTCTGTTCAAAGTTTGAAGGTTAGAAGATCAAATATCAATACTTTAAGTATTAAGGATTTTCGAGCGAGGTTAAGGACCCCTCTTTTTAGAATTTGGCAAGTGTTGATTAGACTTGTCTCTATCCTTTTGGTCGGGAGTAATTCATATTCTGAGGCTAATCTTTGTGCATAGATTTTTTGGGCTTGCTGAAATCAGCTTATGACTATTGCAGTTGATTAATTTGTTCACCTTCCCAAATATAAGCTATGTATTGTCAGATTGGATGTAAAGTGATGACTGAATGAGGATTCAGATAGAATGCGTAAGAATATATGCATGGAATACACAAGTATGGTGAGAAGCTTTCAACAAAATGTCCAGCACAGCTCCATAATAGAATTTGCATCAAGTAGCCTTTATAAAGAAAATGTTATTTGGACCTAATCAAGTGTAACTATTGGATTGAAAGTGAATTTTATCCAACTTTGGATCTCATAATTAATTAATCTAATGACTGCAATGGAATAAATTTTTGAATAGATCCCCATAACATTGCTCCTCCCTTTATATTTAATTCCTTGAGTGAAGTAAAGGTCTCCTATAGGGGGGAGGGAATGAAATGAAATGAAGTTGAAAAAGGGTCGCTTTCTCCTCAATAATGACAGTGCGAAAGGAAGTATAAGAGGGATGAAGTACACCACGTAGTATAAGAGCATTTCTAACGGTACTTTTTGTTTTAGAGAACATCTTTTTTTAAATAGAAACATCTATCATAAAATTTTGAAGCAGAGAATAAAATATTTTTGACAACTCCAATAGATTTTCTATTATAGAAAAAAAAAGTCTTATAGTCAATAACATTTAATGAATAGTATATATGTGTCACCTTGTCATTCATTAAAAATATAATAGAGAATGAGTTAGGCTCTCCAAATGTAGAGAGCATTTTAGTTAGTCTGAAGAGAAAGTCTATTGGAGCTTGATTTTTTGTGGTTGACTTTCTAAAAATAGAAAGTTGAGTGAGAATAGAGAGCTATTTGGAGTTCTCTAAGTATCTACATTTAATCTGACAGCTACAATAGCTGAGGTTAGTAAAGTGAATCAAATAAAATTAGATCCAAATTAAAATGGGACCTTCTTTGTGAGGTCTAGAACCATTGTTTTAGTGGTTTTATGTTGGATCCGACCCTGTGTGAAGAAGGAATCAAGATAGAGTGAAAAGAAATGGGTGTAGGAAGGAAAGAGATTATATAAAGTTATATAGAGGTGGTGGGGGAGAGACCGACATGAGTTCTAACAGTGACGGATCAAAGCATGCCTAAAATAATACTTGTGGATCGAATTCGCTGAAACAATAAATTGTTAATCCGACCATAATGATAAATTAGACACAACTCAACTCAACATAATCTTGTCCTAAATTTTTTGAGCTCAGCTATATGAATCCTCTTTCCTCCCGTGCTCCATCTTGAACCATCATTTTCTATTAAATTATGTGTTATCATGCATCTCTTTACTATTTCACTTAAAATTAATTTTGGTTTAACTTTACACATATGCTTACTTTCAATACCTATTATATCACTCTTTCCCACCAGTGCCATACATCATAGGCCGTCTGTAGATATATTAAGTCAGTTCTCTCTTAATTTATCTCTTATATGAGCTACCTTTACTTTTTTACGGATAATATCATTCTTAATTATATCTTTTTTAATTTTTCCATACATCCATCTTAACATTCTCATTTTCNTACATCATAGGCCGTCTGTAGATATATTAAGTCAGTTCTCTCTTAATTTATCTCTTGTATGAGCTACCTTTACTTTTTTACGGATAATATCATTCTTAATTATATCTTTTTTAATTTTTCCATACATCCATTTTAACATTCTCATTTCCNTACCTTTACTTTTTTACGGATAATATCATTCTTAATTATATCTTTTTTAATTTTTCCATACATCCATCTTAACATTCTCATTTTCATTACACTCAATTTGTGAAAGTGTTAAATTAGATAAATAAAATAAATTAACAAAAAATATATACAAGTAACATTCCTCTAAATTACTTGCAGCATTAATTCTGTATGATGGGCAAAAGCATCCGAAATCCCTTTCAAAAATGTGGAAATTTAGATGACAAACAAAAAAATGCATGTTGGGTCATCTTATAAAATTGAGATAGATTATATCTATAATACTTTCATACAGAATGGTAGGCGATCTAGACTGTGATTCGGTTTGAAATTTGAAGAACAACCCACTGCCATGCTTTCTAGTCTTACTCTAAAGCATGAAGAGGAGCCTTAGAGGGGGCCCCACGCTAGTGATTACTTATAACACTATGTAGACTATATAGAAGTAGCTAGGCGAGTGGTCAGGCATTTCCGTAGCGGTCGATATTACGCTTGGCTTGCCCGAGTGATTATTTGTCTCTGTGGTCACCACTCTAATGGACAGTGCAGGCAGGCAACTCTAACGATATCAAAAATAATGGCAAAAAACCAATGCCACCCATGTTGTTTAGAGAAAAAGCAGATTGGTACGCTGCTCCATTTCATTCTAGACCAAATTGTCAGGCTATTATTCCCCAAGTTTCCAATTCCTCTATTCTTATTTGTCTTTGGGACTGAAATTCCAACCCAAAACTAACTTCCAATCCTTTTGTAACTTACCTTTTCTTTTCAATCTCAAAAACATGCAAAGGAATAAGTTAGAACCCAACCTGGTAATCGTAGTTCCTCACTATATCAGACCAGTATGCATGATTATGGTAAGGTTAAGGTTGCAATAAACTGACTTGTCGTTATGATAAGAGGTCAGCGGGTTAGGCTCTTCTTTGATAAGTGGAAT